GACAGGAAGTAGATTGGTGGGTGCCTGGGGCTGGAGAGGGGTAGACATGGGTGAATCTGGACAGAAGGCTAAGCACGGTGACTCATGGTTGTCATCCCAGCTCAGGAGGAGGCAAGAGGCTCAGGAGCACCGTCCTACATGCAGTGAATATGAGGCCAGCCTGGGCTATGTGAAAGCATGTCAAAAACAAAAACACACGTGCGCGCGCGCGCGCACACACACACACACACACACACACACACACAAAAAAACAGTTTCAGTTTGGAAGGTGGTGGTGGTTGCATAATAATAGCTCAGTACCACGGAAATGTGCACTTGAGCACTAAAGGCATGAGGAGGCAGGGTCCTTCGGGCTAAGGAAGCCCTGGGTTATGTCACCAGCACAAGAGTGCAGAAGGTGGGAGGTTTTATGTTATGGGTTTTTAACCACAACAATTAAGAACGAAGGGCAAGACAACTACAGGCACACGCTGCCATGCAGCCCCTGAGGCAGGAGGACCGTGTTCACGGCCACAGCTGCCACATGGCACTGCCTGACTGGCAGGGGAAGGTGCAGGTGAGGCGGCACGGCAGGGAGCCATCTGCCCCACCAGAGGACTGGGGTCCCCCCCAGCTCATTCCTTCCCCGGAAAACTATTCCTGCTGTGCTGTCTCCCTCCCTGAAGCACCACAGAGCGGCACCCTTCACCCCCTACCCCAGGAAGCACAGATTCCTGCTGGTGGACAGGGAGACTCTCAAAAACAGAGACGTGGGACTCACTGTGTGCCCCACACCCGGTGATTATGCTCACAGGCGTGGGTCAGAACAGGTGAAGCAGGCAGTCAAAGGTCTTGGCTGAGAGATCCAGAGCTGAAGAGTGTGCAGCAGACAAATGGCCCCGGTCAAGGCAGTGTGGGGCTGCCAGTGCCTGGAAAATTTGCACACACTTGCGAGGGGAGCCTTCAAGGCAATGAGTCACAGGTATTGGTTTTGGCTGCTAGCATGCAGGTGTCTGCACTCCTGCTTTGCGCTATTTGGATGGTTCAGCCCAGGACATGAGCTGGCAGGGGCCTCCCTGAGCCCAGTCTGGGGATGCTGTCGTAGGGTCACACCTTAATTACACTGTTTGGCTGTTTAGGGAATGCTCTAGGCCTCGGGTGTCTTGTTTTAGAGTCTCAGACAGCCAGGGTTGCCCCCTCTTAGCCTGTCCTGTCCTGGTAGATTTTCCCGGAAAATGTATTTCTGCTGGGTGGTCGGAGTCTAGAAGGAGCACACAGGCAGGTGGGCGGGGCCCCCAGGAACCGGGAGTACGAGCTGGTGGGATCTGGGCATCTGGATGTTTCTAGGCCTGGGAGGCATGTGCAGAGGGTTTAACCTGGGCCAAAGTTCTAGGTTTTCCACCCAGTTTCACACCACCAGAGAGGGGTCAGCAAGATGGCTCTGTGGGAGGAGGAGCTTGCAGCCAAACCTACGGAAAGGGTAGGGAGAGAGAGGCAAAAATAAATATATAAAATATGGGGAGGCCAGGTGTGGTGGTACATACCTGCCACCCTAGCACTTAGGAAGCTGAGGCAGGAGGATGTCAAGTGTTAGGCCAGTCTGAGGTACACAATGAGATCATGTCTCAGAAATTAGCTGAAGCTAGAGAGATGAATTCGATGTTAAGGTTTGGTTTCCTGCACCCATATAGCAGCTCACAACCATCTGTAACTTCAGGTCCAGGGGATCTAATGCTCTCTTCTGGCCTCCGTGGGCAGCTGTGCAAGCATCCCCAAAATGCACACACTGACATAAAACACACACACACACACACACACACACACACACACACACACACCTTTAATCCCAGCACTTAGGAGACAGAAGCTGGTGGCTCTCTGAAGCTAGAGGCCAGCCTGGTCTACAGAGTGAGTTTTAGGACAGCCAGGGCTACACAGGGAGTGTAATGTTGTCCTAGGCTTGTGAAGTGGGTCCTCTGAGGAAGTCCAGAGTGGCTGCCCTGGGAGAAGACTAGAGGGGCCACAGGTAAGTCTGAGTTGGTCAGTCACCTGATGGGCACTTGGCACACACTCTGGTTGAGGCTGGAGGCCAAGACAGTCTGTGCCACTCCCGACAGCCAGTGATGGTGGCAGAGGACAGAAGGCTGAGGCCTCAAGAGTAAGTGCTGTGTGGGTGAGTGAATAAACAGCTAGAGAAAGGGAGGCTGAGGAGGGAGGGTAGCAAAGTCTCAGACTAGCCTGGGCTACACAGCAAGACCTTGTCTCAAAAAATAAAGAAGAGAGGGAAGGATGGAGAGGCAGCTAGATGTAGCTGAGGGTACCCTGAAATGATCCTCCTGGTGGGAGCCCAGGTGAGCAGATACCTGGCTCTTCTGGTTGTTTAGAAGCAGGTTCCACAGTGCAAGCTCACTTTGAACTTTGGGAAACCCTGCTTCAGCCACCACACTGGTCATTCATCTCTGAAGGTCAAGTTATGGCAGTCCAGGCTCTAACCCTTCTGTCAAAATGCTCAGCATCCCACCTGACCCCTAAGGGATAGGAGATGACACCTTCTGGTATCTAGGGGGGTGGGTCTGGGTAGAGGACCAGGGATGAGGGATGGGGCTCTGCACAGTGCTTGGGACCCAGAGACTCTGTCAATCAAACTGAGATGGAGAGAGCAGGCCCTGCCTGGTGCACATGCCTTTAGTCACAACATTCTGAAGGCACTGTGGGTCTCTGAGTTCCAGGCCAGCCCGTTGTACTGAGTTCCAAGCCAATCAGGACTACACACTGATAGAGACCCTGTCTTGAACAAAACAAAATAAAACAAAAACAGACACAAACTAGGCTATGGCTAATTTTTTTTGTGGGGAAGAAAATGGTTGGATGTCCTATCTCTTCCCAGAATTCCCAAGAATAGTACTAGAAATTTCCCTTACACCTCTCTGGTGACACTGCTTCTGCCCTGGTCACCCCTTTTTTAGCATCCAGAGCAGGATGTTCTGCTTCAGCATGACTCCCAGTTGGGGCTAAGAGCAGCTGTGAGGAAGGCAGGGGCTCCTCTATGCATTATTTAGATGCCCACCTAGCTGGGACCTTAAGGTTGACAACCAACAATATCTCCACTGGGTCCTTCTTGGGGTCCAAAGCCAGCCGTCTAGAATACGCATCACACAAGCTTACCCTTGTCTGAGAGGGGAGAAGGAGGCCAGCACTTCTGGGCTATCCCATCGGGCACACTGCTGCCCAAGCCCAGTGCTGGACGTGCCTCCCATCTTCTGGCAGCGCACAGAAGCAGGGCCTGCAGTACCTGTGGCTTCTCAGTTGGCCTGTTACTGGCCTCAGAGCCCTCCAGGGGACAGCTGGAGGTGTTCTCCAAGAAGAAAAATGGACAGGGAAAGAGCAATGTAGTAAATTTGAGGCCAAAAAATAAAAGGAAAAATGGTTCATGGCTCTTGCTACAGCTTTCTGAGGGAAGGCTACAGCACTGTTCAAGTAGTTATTTACATTCTGAGAGGCTCCGAAAGAGCACTTTCTACCCTTAACAAAGTAAACCAAATCGACAAAAACCAGATGGTTAAATCATGGGGAACATGGTACTGCATGCAGTTCTAGGGCCGAGATCCTGGCACCATCCTGGCAGGCAAATAACCACCAAAGGTAAAAACAAAACCACACAAATTCTGAGGCCTTTTCCTTTTCTGGGACAAGCTCTATCAAGGGGCCCTGCCCCCGCCCAGGGTGAGGGGCCACTGTGGGGTTCAGTTTTGCAGAAGTGGTTCAGAGAGGGCACAGAGCTCCCCCCCTGGAAGCGAGCCTGAGTGTTTACTCTTGAAATATGAATCACATTATCATCCTCATTTCTGCTTTTCAGATTACCAAAGAGTTGTCAGCTGTTTCCCAGGGCTGCTGTGCCCCTGGGGAGGGGGAAGGATAGAGAGGAAACCCCTGCCTCTGTTGCAACTGGGCTCTGCCTAAAGGCTGTTTTCACTTTCTGGAAGTAACTTGGGCAATTGTCAGTAGCCATGGTTACTGGGGCCCTGGGCAGAGGCACCTGCTAATGAAAGAGAGGCACTGCGGGCTGGCTGCTCACCCACGGCAAAATGTAGGAGTCTCCGTCAACACAGGTGGGTAGTGAAAACCACTGCCATGCCCCGGGCATGAAGCACAGGTCACCCCCGCCCGTCCAAAGTAACGGAAACCAAAGCCAGGTGTCACGTGTCTCCACACTCACATCATTAGTTCAAAACTATTCTCAGCTGAGAGAACTTGAGTCAAAACAAAACAGGGACAGTGCAGTGGCTCAACTAGGTAAGGGTGCTTGCAAGGAGCGGACTTACACAGGAGGGCAGCCCTCCAGTGTGCCCTCTGGTGTCCACTGTGGTGCGACCTGGGCAACCCCCAAAGCACAGAACAAATGTAAAACACTTTAAAAGTCAAGAAGGGAAAAACAGAAAACAAAGGGAAAAAGGTACTTACACCACAGGATTTTACCCCTATAAAAAGACCAGTTCCAGCAGGAGAGGCAGAGGCACAGGGATCCGAGTTTGTGGCTAGCTGCTTGGTCTATGTATTAAGACCATTTCCAAATATTAAAATTAAAAAAAAAAAAAAAAAAGAGCCAGGTAGATTCAAGGCCAGCCTGAGTTCAGACAGCCAGGGCTACACAAAATAACTGTCTTAAAACCAAAAAAAAAAAAAAAAAAAAAAAAGGCAATGAAACGTCTGCTTGCTGAAGTCTGGCCAAACCCCAAAAGGTACCAGGAAAGTTTAATTTCCCTTTTGGTTTTCTTTTTAGCTCAGAGATGGCCACACCAGTTGGACCAACACTTTCCCCAGTTCTGGGAGAGCAAGGGGGCAAATTATGGTTCAAAGTGGCAGTCTTAAAATAACTTGTACTCAATCCTGAAACGCCATGTTTACATTTAGAGAGAACCCACAGGACCTGGCAGCTGGGGGCTGCAGCTGGCGACCTTGGCCACAGGCGCCGCTCCCTGTCCCCTCAGGCAGCCCCCATCCCATACCGCACCACTGCTTGATTCTTCCAAAGATCCAAAACTTTAATTAAAAAATCTTATAAAAACGAAGCAGGCGGCAAAGATGCCATCGTCTCCCTTTCAGTAATACAATCTGCCAGTCACTTATATACATTATAAAAACAACAGGGACAGTACACTCAAAGGCGTTTTTCACAAGGCGTCCAGCCCTGATCCTCTAGTGGGGACCCGAGGGAAATGAAGTCAATTATTGCACCATTTTGAAAACATTCGTCACAGGCTCCTGTCTTCTCGGGGCCTTCAGTCACGGTGGGGGCCAGAACTGGTGGCAGAGTCAATGTCCTGTGTGGCCACACTGCCTGGCCCCGTCCTCAGGGTCCAATAAATAGCAGTCAGTTCGCAAGGGGGCCGTGCCCGGCGCGTGGGACCCGCCACAGCCGCGCACCGGCTAGCCATTGCAGGGTCGACCCAGGCTACATGTGTCGTTTCATGTGCAGGGCCAGGTGGTCGGACCTGGAGAAGGCGCGGTCGCACAAGTGACACTGGAAGGGCCTGTGACCTGTGTGCTTGCGGTAGTGGCGGGTAAGTTCATCTGAGCGCGCAAACTTCCAGCCACAGCCGTCCCAGTTGCAGTGGTAAGGCTTCTCACCTGCGGTGGAGAGGAATGACATTGAGTCTCGGGTTCCCTGAAAGCCGACTTCGGGTACCCAGCACCCGATGGCGCCCGGCCCCTCTCTCACCCGCAACCAATCCAGACAGAAATTAGTCCCTGAGCCTGTCTCCCCAGCAGGAGAGACAGGTGCACGCCCCGTCCCCACTAACATTCCGGTAGTAAGTCTCAAGCGTCCCGGGCTAGCCTTGAACTCCTGCTCCTTCTGCCCAGTGCTGACAGGCTCAGGCCACTAGGCCAAGCCTTATTTGCAGTGTTGGGGATGGAAGTCAGCCAGCTGAGCCCCAGCCCAGCCCTCGAAGAGCTAAGCCTACACTGTCCCAAATTCTTGAGACCTGAGTCCTCACGGCCAGCCACGTAAACTGCCACGCCCCCTCGCCAGGGCCACAGCTTTGGGGGCTGTATCCAGTCCCATCTGGAGGCCGTACAAGGCCTCCCTCTTTAGCCTAGCCTGGCCCTGAAGTAGCGGCTGTCCCCCGGCCGCAGGTCCCGTTGCTCCCCGAGTGAGGCCAGGCGCCCACCTGTGTGAGTGCGCAGATGCGCCTTGAGGTGCGAGCTCTTGGTGTAGGTCTTGCCGCAGTTGGTGTAGCTGCAAGTGTGCGTGGCGGCGCGCTTGCGGGGCCAGGAGCGGCGGCCGCGCTTGGGCTTGGCCTCCAGCAGCTCCAGGGGGGACGAGGGCGGCGTGAGGAGACTGCGGGTGGCGGGGGGGGCCAGGCCCAGCGCCGCCGCCGCGGCAGCCGCGTCGTCGAAGAGCCCGAAGGCGCCGGGCACGGGCGGCCCGTAGTGCAGCGCGGGGCCGGGACCGCCGAAGCCGGGGCCGAAGGGCGGCGGGAACGGGTTCCGGGAAGCGGGCGCGGGCAGGCGCGCAGGGCCGTCGGGGCTCAGCGGCGGCGTGTCCGGGGGCGGCGGGGGGCGGCCGGCGGGACCCCGCATGCACGCACCGGCGGCTCCCGGGGCGCCCTCGAGCTTCAGGCCGCGCGGCCCGCGGGCCAGGCCGGGCGCGCAGCCGTAGCCGCCGCCGTCCGCCTCGGGGGGCTCGGCCTTCACCAGCCGCCCCGGGGGCGCAAGGAGGAAGCGGCCGTGCAGGGCGGGCCCCTGGGGTGCGTCCAGCTCGGGGCGCAGCAGGTCGGTGCCCAGGCCGGCCGCCGCGGTGCCGTAGGGCGGCGGGACGCCCGGCTCCGGGTAGTAGAACGCAGGCGGCGGGGGCTGCGGCGGCGGCTCGGCAGAGTTTTCGGCGCCCAGACCGTCCAGGCCCATGGACAGGATGAAGTCCAGCACGCTGTTGAGGTCCTCGTCCGCGCCGCCCGCCTCGGGCTCACTGCACGGCCAGCGCTGCGGGAGAGAGCGCGCGGAACGTGAGCGCGGGGCCGCCTCCTGCCACCCCGCACCCCGAAGTCTACCTAACTCCTAGGCGCCCGGGGCTCCCACCCCTTCTGTGCGCGCGTCCTCAGCCCCTGCGCCCGAGGACTCCCACCCTCCGACTGCGGTCTAACTCCCGCGGGCCCGCAATCGGCGCCCTCAGCCCCTTAGACCAGCTCTGCTCCCCCGCAGCCTGAGGTCTCCCACCGACCGCGGTCCGCACCCCGGACCTTGTCATCCCCCGTCTTCCTCCTTGCATCCACCCTGGGCCTGGTCGCCCGCTGCCCCGCCGCCCGCGGACTCTCGCTGCTCTCATCTCACCTCCTGGAGGCCGCGCTCGCACGGGCTGGCGAAGGTAGCAAAGGACGGCAGGATGGGCTCGCTGAGCGCCATGGCAGGGACCGTGTGTGCAGCGGCCCGGCCCGCCCAGGCCTTATAGGCGCGGCCGGCACGGGGGGAGGGGGGCGGGCCAGGAGGCGGTGGCGGAAACGCGTCTCGGATGGGGACGAGCTCCGGGCTCAGCCTAAATTTAGCCGCGGTATATAAGCCTGGCGGCGGAGGCGACGGCAGCCACTGCGGGAGCCCGGGCTGCGCGCCCCAGGCCCCGCCCCCGCGGCCTGGCCCCGCCCCGTCCGTCCCCATGGCGACGGCGTCAACATGCCGGGCACAACAGCCTGGCTAGCGCGCGGGGGTGGCGCCCGGGACTTCGCAGGAAACGCGGGTTGAAGAGGCTTCCCCGGTGTCTCACCAGCCTCAGGCCCCGAGAAAGCTGGACCGATGAACGGGGAGTTTGGGGTCGGTGTGCTCACCAGAGGGACGCTCTGCGGAAAAAACTCTTGTGTGAGCCTGACATGTAGGCATGGAAGCTGCTCTGGAAGCTGAGACAGGAGGATGAAGAATTTGGGCACTCTCTCTCGCTCTCTCTCTCTCTCTCTCTCTCTCTCGCTCTCTCTCTCTCTCTCTCTCTCTCTCACACACACACACACACACACACACACGAGGAAAAGCATGGCATTCGGGAGGTTGAAAGCATTAGGTTCAAGGCCAGCCCTGGCTACAAGAGACCACGTCTCAAAAGGAAACAAACATCGGGGCCAGGCAAGATGGCTCAGTGTCTTAACAAACCTAGTCCCCAGAGTTCAGTCCCCAAGAGAAGGAGAGAATCCATTCCCATAATTCGTCCTCGGAGCGCGCGCGCGCGCACACACACACATTTTTACGCTCCAATGTAAAAAAAAGTAGCAATGAATAATTAAACGTTATAATAAATAAGCCGGGAGCATTGGTGCATGCCTGTAATCCCAACATTTGGGGAAGCAAAGGCAGGCGGATCTCTGTGAGTTCAAGGCCAGCCTGGTCTGCAGAGCGAGTCCAGGACAGCCAGGGCTACACAGGGAAATCCTGTCCCGGAAAAAAAAAAGTTATAATAAAGAAATAAATACAGAGGTTTTTGGGACCTTTTCACCTCCCCTCCACACCTCAGAAAAACCCTTCAAGTGTCAGGGAAACTGAGGCAGGGTCCTGGGAGAGGTTGTGTGACAAGGCAGTCCTCAGTGGGGGATGGGCATGTCACTATGTATAGTACCCAGGGGGCCCAGGGAAAAAGGAAATAGTGGAAGAGGAGGAAGTGTGCTCCGGCTTGGGGGAGGGAAGATGGTGCAATTTTGACCTTCACCCAGGAGTGAATGTTGAGGCACGATCTGGAGAAAGCAAAAGGGAGCCGTCTGGGTAATAGAGGGAGAGCATTATTTCAAGCCATGGTCTGCAGCCAGACAGCCAGGATGCAGTGACACCGAGGATCCCAGGGCACGGTCCACACTGACCCAGCCTCCGTCTCTGTCCTCTACCGTGTAACTGAGCAGAGCCGCTCCAGTGGAATAGACACTGGTCTGGAACGTCAGCCCCATCTGTACTCAGGTCCTTTCCGTAAAACATCGGAGACCGCACACCCGCACTCTCAGCGCTCCCGCTGACTGGAATCCCTGCTGCCCGTGGAGGCAAGGGTGCAAGGCTGGCTTGGTTGCCTCACCACAGAGGGGAGAATACCAGGGGTTTCTCACACAGAAGAAAAGTGAGCCACAGGGGCTGGAGAGATGGCTCAGTGGTTAAGAGCACTGTCTCTCTTCCAAAGGTCATGAGTTCAATTCCCGCCAACCACATGGTGGCTCACAGCCATCTATAATGAGAATTGATTGCCTCTTCTGGCAGGTATAAATGCAGATAGAACACTCATATACATAAAATAAATAAATCTTAAAAAAAAGTGAACCATAGCTGTGTATTCAGATCTGAACACCCTGGGTGTGTGTGTCTCAGTCTCCCTTTACCATAAGAAGCAAAAGATAAGGCTTGGATATTTGGTCATTTTCCCCAACGTTAAGGAGAATCTTGCTTGGTTTTATTTTCAAGGTGTGTGTGTGTGTGTGTGTGTGTGTGTGTGTGTGTGTGTGTGATAGGTTTTTCTTACTTGGCCAGGGTAGCACTCTCCCTGCCTCCAGAGTGCTGGGGGTCACAAGGCCGCACCACCTGTCCTGGGGCTTGGTGGGGGCCTGAGTCTATTCTGAACATGTAGACATTTTTCCTTTTTATTCTTAATTAACACAAAGTGATTGGACATCCAAAGCTGGTGGAGCTCACCCAGTGGTGTTTTAACATCTGTCGGAGTGCCGGAGAGATGGTTCAGGCTCCACAGCTTTTACTAAGTGGTTTGAGTGTCTGGGAAGCCTGTTATTCTAGAGCACTGGAACAGACAGTCTCCGGCAACTATGGAGCGACTGTGCGCTAACTAACACAAGACCCGGCGAGAGTGCAGGCCTCGTCCCAGCACTGAGGCTGCGTCAAGTCCAAAGCCAGGTTGGACACATGACTGAGAAGGACGCTTGAGTTCAATCCCTTAGCCCACACAGTGAGAAGAGAGAGCTGACTTCTCAACGGCTCTGACCTCCCACACAAGCACACACAAATAAAAAACACAATTAAAAAAATGCTGAAGTGCTCCTTCCAACACGTGCTCCAGGTCCTTATTTGCATGTTCCTGAAGGGCTGGGGGAGCTTTTGAAATGCGTATTTTCTCTTTCTGCATACCTTCTCTTTACACAGCTTTGTTTCAGCTTGCACAGTCGTCTGTGGCGAGCACCGGACTAAGTCTTTTGAGTAGTTTCAAATAGATTGTGTTATTTGCTTCTTGTTGCATTTTGCATCTTTTGTCTGAGTCAATGGCTGTCCTTGATCCGCTGTCTTTGGAAAGATTTCTTTCCTAGTAGGTGGCCTGCCTTCAAATTCTCCTAAGGGCACTCTTTGCAGAGCACATTTTGAATAAAATGTCTTTTAATTTTGTTTATCACATTTATTTAGTTATTTAGTTAGTATTTCTCGGTGTCTGTGCGCTTGTGCGTATGGCTGACTTTGTGGTCAGTCTCTCCTGCTATCTGGGCTCTGGGATTGAACTTGGACCAGCAGGCTTGGTAGCAAAAACCTTAACCCCATAGCCCTAGGCTTCGGTATCGTGAGGCTCAGGCCAGCCTCCAACTTGCTATGCTGACCAGGATCTTGAACTCCTGAGTCTCCTGCCTCAGCCTTCCGAACATGGGATAACAGAACACACCATGAACCTGGCTTTCATTTTTAACCTTAGTGGAGTCAACTCGTGGTTTTTCCTTTCCTTGGTTGTGCCTCTGTTAAGTGCTGTCGGTCTTGAGGTCCCCTCAGCTGTCCAGAAGGACTTCAGTTTCTTTGCAGTAGCTTTTGGGCTGGGCTGAAACCAGGCCCTCTGCACCGGCTCCAGAGCCAGGCCTCTGAGTCCCTTACTAGTGATTTCGTGTGCTTGCTTTGCAGGCGGGCCCCCTCGGCCCTCTGTGGAAGCCCTGCTCTTGGTCTAGCCTGCTGTTAGTTTCAAGGTGACCTTTGACCTCCCTCTACTGCTGCTGCTCTTTTCTGAGCTTCTTTCTTCTAGTTTTCTCTTTTATATTTTATTCATCATTAGGGCGGGTGTGTGCCTGTGCACACAAACCATGAAGGCATAGCGTACCATAGCACATATGTGAAGGTCAGAGGGCAACCTGTGGGAGGTGGTTCTTTCTTTTTACCGTGTGAGTCTCAGGGATCCAACTCATGTACCCAGCCTTGGCAGAATGAGCTTACCAATGAGCCATCTCTCCTGCCCTGGTTCTTACTTCTTATTTTTTGGTGTTTGTATGAGACAGGTCTTACTGTGTAGCCCTGGCTGGACTGGAACTCATAGAGATCCTCCTGCCTCTCCTTCTCAAATGCCATTAAAAAAAAAAAAAAAAAAAAAAAAAAAAAAAAAAAGGCCAGGTGGTGTAGCATACACCTCTAGTCCCAGCACTCAAGAGACAGAGGTAAGCAGATCTATGCTAGTTCAAAGCCAGCTTGGTCTACAGAGTGGGTTCCAGGACAGCCAAGGCTACACAGAGAAACCCTATCTCAAAAAACCAAGATACACACACACACACACACACACACACACACACACACACACACACACACGGGGGGGGCGTCTTTAGCAGCCTAGGTTGGTATTGAACTCATGATCTTCCAGCATCAGAGCCCTGACTTCTGCTCTAGCAGGTCCTGGCCTTTGTTGCAACCTCACATCTCGTATATCACCTCACCAGCTGGCCATCCTCCCGCTCACCTGCTCCCTGAGTTCCTCAAAAACACCCATCTCCCCTTGACTCATCTCTGTGCCCAATGCTCCTCGCTGGGGCCCTAGGGTGGCCACGCACTCTAAGAATAGCGTGTAACTCTTTGGTAAAGCTCTATCCATGCAGCCATCAATGCAGAGAGCAAGTTTAGTGGCTGCTTTAGCTGTGGGACCTCAGGCGAGCAAGGCAAAGACAAGATGCAGGGAAGCAGCAGTCACGGCTGCTGGGTTGTGGGGATGAGAAGACATCTCAGGGTCTGTCACTGTGAGGGTGACTTAGGGCTTGCTGTGGATGGGAGAACATGGATCACTTTATCTCACTAACATGCCTTGCGGGCCCCCCTTTCCGTGCGGTGTGTATTTACAAGTTGTGTTTATTAGGCTGGTGGTGGTCCCAGCCCTTGGGAGGAAGAGGCAGGCAGGCTCTGTGAGTTCAGGGCCATGCTGGTGTACAGAGTGAGACCCAGGACAGCCACGGCTAACAAACAAAAACTTTATATGTGTGTGCACCGTGTGTGTGGCATCCTCGGAAGATGGTGTTGGGTCCCCTGGAACTGCAGTTACAGACAGTGGTGAACTGCCATGGGGTGCTGGGAGCTGGGCTCATGCTCTCAGCTGCTGTCTCCAGCCCCAGCGCGGCCTTTTGAACCTCTAGATAAGGTGGTGCCCTGCGCTTGACACATCAACAGCCCTACCCCTCAGACAAGCTCTGAGGACCCCAAGAGCCACAGAGGCGGTCCTAAAACAGCCACACAGATGCTCAAGGTAAGTCAGGAGCTGCCACACACACCTCGAACCCAGGCTTGC